ATTGGTCTGACAAAATGCTTGGAGGACTGGGACTGGTACCAATCATAGCCACGGGGGCGGGGCAGGCGAGTTCTCAAACGACTTGTTGATCAAAGGTGACAGGCCGAACGGGTGAACAGCGGCCTCTTAAGTTGCCCCGAGGGATGCGGTCAAGACAATACGGGACAGCCAGGTCGGACATAATAATCGCGAACCCCACTTTCGGTAGATGATTCCGGGATATCTTGTGACGTTGCTGTGACCCATGAAAATGAAAACGGGTTTCGGAATTTTTTTTTGAGTTGTTTTTCAATATTTAAAAAAAAAAAAATGATAAAAATTAGAATTATTCCCTAAGAATTCTAACTATCTTGTTATTTCGAGTTTTGAAGACCCGCAATAAGCACGCCATGCGGGCTTGATGAGCATGACAGACAAACTAATGGCAAACACGATGATGGTTCATTATCCCAACTATCATCACTGAGCGAGTGGGGACGGAGGGCTTCGGGAACCCGAGGGAGCAAGTCATCAAGCACGGTTTGACTTTCAGAATGGGGAGTGAAGGGAGGAGGGGGTGGGGGGGGGCGAGGGGGAGGTTCGGAATGGGGTTGGCTTGTTGAGAGGGCGGTGGCGAGATATGGAGGGTGTTGTGTACACTGCTTATCTCAATCCTGCGAATGGGTTGAAACTTTCCCTGCTCACATACAACGTCATAAATTGACCCCTGGTCCACACGCCTCATCCTGGGTCTTCTTAGCCAGAGATTCTCAAGCCCGTTTGGCGTAGAGCCGTATCCACTTTACTACAACAAAGTAAAGCAACGCTGTAGTCAAGGCAGACATTTGAAGGAGCAGTAGTTTTATTTGAAGTCAAGTTATACCATTTTTATCAGATTAATCTGGGTTCAGTAGAGCGTTCTATAATCTTTTTATTCCCAACTCGTTTTAAGTTAGGTATTTTTTCGACTTGGCCCACCTCAATTAACACAAACTGGTTGACGGAGCTCCCTCCTCCCCCCACCTCCTATGCCCCACACTGTCAACTGACGCACGGCCAACCCACTTGACACCCCCCGCCCCCCAACCATCCAAAAGAAAAAGTTTGAGGACCACTGCGCGAAATCTTCATTAGAAGCAAGTCAACATGGTTTATCAAATCACATGATGCATGGACACCGGACCCAGGCTATCTTCACAGTATTTATACTTTTGGGATTGAACTCTT